TTTAAAAAGCCTTAAGAAATGATGAGTAGGATAATTCTTTTGGACTCTTTCGTTGAACATCAAATTCATTTAAATCTGCATCACATCTGAAACCATTTCTTTAAAAAATCATGCTTCTAGTCAAATAGACTTATGAATTGCTTACAATACCTCACCTCATTGCTTATTAGCACTAATTATTGCGTGTATATTCCCACAGAATAATCTCCCAATCCAATTTAGATGTGTATTGCGTGATGATAGACGAGTTTCTGATGTATGTTTACTTAGGCGATGTCGGCTTGTCTTCTTCGTGGCGCTGCCAGAGGTGTCGGCCCGACTAGTGACAGTTGCGCAACGCACACGTCGATGGAATAGCCTGTCCTCACCAAATTATGTAACTTTGGAGTAAGCTAAGCTCAGCTTCTGAGACAAGCGCCGTCACGCGATGGACAGCTGCGCAGCGCTATGAGGTGCGTTTACTTCTTCGCTGCGGCTTCTCCATTTGGATAAAAGTAATATTACCTGGCGGTAAATATTTCAATGAATAACATAACAGTCATCACTGTTAACATTTGCCGCCTTCAATCCATTCTTGCCTAAACCTTGTCCTTGAACTTCACGTATTGCGAGCATGATCATGGGGTAGTCTTTTGAATGTATCAGTGAATTTGTTTCCTAGGATTTAGGTATTTTCAAAGTTCTGGTTTCGAAAATAAAATTATTACGTGCATCTTTGAAGGCTACAATTGTGTATGTTTGATAACAAAACACATATATGTTTCTTGATTTATACTTTTATAAAACATTTATGTTTTTCTCAACTGTATTGAGTATGAAGATAGCGCTGTGGGATTTCAAATTCATGTAATATTTGATAAAGAAAATCATTTTTTGGATGTCCACCTTTTTACAGTGTTTTTTAGTCTAGGAGATATGATATCTATCATTTGAACTGAACAATGCGCCATTCGTTTTAGAGGAAGGTGAGCACAAACAAACATCTTCAATTTCAAAGTTTCCGGTTGGAAGATAGCCCCACTGTTTTTTAAATCTTAGGTAGAATGCCTAGCTCTGAAGTTTCCCAGAGAAATGAGCGTTCGTTCTTTCATATTTTTTGATACACGACGTTTGTTGACTAGATGTCTACTGCAATTTCATTTTTGGAATCCCTGAAACGAAGCATGTAAATATATGTACATATCTATTTACATGTATACATGTAATACTATGTTTAATATACTATATATTGCAAGGTTGCATGTTTTCTTCACTGTAGTCAAGTCACGTTTCTTTTTTAGATCTCCAGTACTCCTGGACAAAAATTTTGTCTTTTCTCTTTTTAGTAGCTGAGCTAATTCGATACTTGAGATTTCGCTCTTATGTATGCCCTTTCATGTTTCTATCTTGTCAAGCCGTTAAAGCATTTATAGAGAACACCTTTTTCAAAATGTACAACACTCAACCGGTTGTCAGCTACTCCTTGTTCCGCATCAGAATAGTACCTGCTGAAGTTGGAAAACGATTTACTCTGTTATTTTGGTTCAAAAGAGCTTATACCACGAATTTATTATCCATTACGAAATGGTAGCTTTCTATGATCGATGACTTTTTGATTCCTTTCTGTCTCAGATAATGACAGCCAGAGTATCTCTAGCAGTTTACTCACAATCTCAAGTAACTGTTGAGTGATCTGCGACGAATTGGCTATCCCCCGGATACGTATCAGCAGAGGCATATGGTCGCCAGCCAAGTTTTCCATTCTCTTTACGGCATCATTCTGAGGGTACGCCAATTGGCCATATACTCGAAGAGGCACTCACTTTAGGCTCACGGCGGACACAGGTTTCGCCTCGAGTGAGCTGAATACAGTCGTCATGTTCCGCTCTTCTTTGCGATACCGCCGTTTATGACCCTTGCAATCTCGCCTAAGGCTAATCGCTGGCGCTTGTACACTTCGCGCTTCCACGAATGTTATCTGAGTGAGTTAAGGCTACAAAAAATTGACATGAACTAAACTTCTGTCAAAAACCATATTTCAGTTCATTTGGTCTCTACTCATTTGCTATGCGATGGTTTTACCTCATACGTACAATATTTATAACTTTCATTCACCTAGGCCAACAATAAGATCTTAAAACATAATCCAGCTGTGGAAACCTAAAAACGTTTCATTAATTCATTGAAAATTGATATGATGTTCCGACTTTTTTTCATTCTATGGACATAATTGCTGCGTTCAGGTGAAGTGTATATTTTAGTTTTTTGCTATAATTATAAGTTCTCTTACACATCCAGAGCCATTGCAATCTGTTGCGCTATTGCGTTGTTAATGCAGGAGTATGGCACCTGTGCAATGAATTGAATGAAAAATAGGATGAGCTTCTTCTTTGACCACATTCAAGCTAATCTCAGTTCTCTTTCTTTTTTTTTGAAAAATTTGTCTGTTCAGTTCTGTAACGAGGTATTTGTATTCCTATAACCTATCCGAACATGTGGCAAGAATTACCACTCTCTCCGGATGATCTACATCTCTACTGATATATCGAAATCTGTAAATAGAATTAAATTTTCAAAAAAATTTTGAAATTGTATTCAACATGCTCTTTTGAAAGAGCAGCTTTAATTTTTCATGATTATTTTGTGGATAGTTTGTCATACGAACAGCTTTTAATTTTAGTCATAGTTTGTTCTTAAACAAAGAACCTTTCGGATACCTGATTTGCCGCATTTTGCCTTTTATCACAGTTCACTACGCCTCACTGCGTGAAATGGGCGTGCCTACCGTACGCCTGCGCAACAGGCCTGAAGGGGCGGGGATCCGGTCACTACCATGTCCACAGCTGCTCAGCAAGTGCTCCTTTACACTGTGTTTCTTTCTGTAGCTTGGGATCGTTCTGTTTCTTATAGTATTTCTGATATGATAGTTCATAGTTTTCGTAATTTTTGTCAAAAATGTCGAAGTATAACTCTCTTTTTCTCCAGAACTACTATGACCCGTCAATCTTCTTCTTCCTCGTCCCCCGATGAGCATCGTCGTTTGCGATCTACCCTGAAGGAAAAGAAAAGAAATATTGAGATCAATGATGCTTTTGAAAAGCTTCAAAGGTATGCAAAGAATGTTCTCTTCTACTTTCGTAATATTTTAAAGGTTTTTGCAACCTTGTTGCGGTACTATAAGTATCAGGAGTGTATGTCATGGTTTCTTACAGGCAGCTACCTCATGTGCCAACCTCAACTCGCTTACCTAAAATCAAGACCTTGCGATTGGCTTTGAAGTATATCGAACATCTTAACACCATACTAAGCGGAGATAAACAGGTAACTTCTGTTTTCTGTTAGAGGGTTTTAGGTATTGTGTAGTCATCAATGCTTCTTTTTGTTACGAACAGCTGACATTTTTGCGCAATGTCGAGTTTACTGCATCCCACAGTTCCATCGCGTTTTGTAAAAATTACTAAATACTGTTCATATCCATGTTCAAATATTAACAAAGTTTTTATTCATTCCAGATTATGTCCGACTATATGGCGGCTCCACGACCTTTGTGCATCGAGGACTTTGCTGCTGTTGCGATGCAAGAGATGCAGGTGAGCTCGTACCTGCTGTTAAGTTGCTCTACAACTGCGACGGGTATTAGATCAGCATGAGAAAAAAAAATATTTTTGAACTAATGAGAATCCCTCTTATTTTGCATTCAAGATTGTTAGACGTTCGTGGTAAAGATTCAGTCTTGCACGTGTTGCCTTTCTATCATTGACGAGTTTATAATAATGCGTTTTTGAAGAGTATGAAAAATTTCTTTCCATAAATCTTAGATTTGCTGAGCTAT